ACAAATGAAGTAAGATTGTTCAAATCTGTTAATGAAATGAAGGTTTCGAGGTTATGGCCGTTTTTTTGCCATTTTCCATATATGAATAAAATTTATCTGATGACAAATATGTATGGAATTTTAATTCTTATAGTATAAACTGCAGTACCTATACTATAAATTTTCGATTTTGATGTTTTGGAAAAAATATGACGAGTTTGAAATATGCCTAAAAATGCAAAGGTTCTGACTCCCTGTTCGAGGGAGGGGGGGGTTAAGGGGGGGGGCTATAAACTTTTTAGGGGCGATCAGATGTTAAATCATCTAGTAACAAATAAGCTCCTTTTTATATTCGCCAGTTTTTACAGAAATCGCCCCACTTCTATTCCTTTTTCACCCTATGAAAGGTTGCTCATTTCTGAGAAAACGGTTCACTTTACAAGCAAAGTGGTAAGGGACTTTTTTGTTCAAAATCGTGTCAGCTACATTTTTGTTTGAAACTTTTTTTTTTCCATGCACAGATTTCTGGGAAATCGATGTTTTCCGTTTTTTACCCCCTTTAGGGGGCAATTTCTGACGAAGCCTGGGGGTACAAGTGGTAAACTTTTTTGCTTCTTTTTTGGAGACTACTAGTGGACATTCATACCAAATTTCAGCCAGGTCGGATCATTTTTAGAGGTTCAGTGGTATTTTTGCCTCTGACGACTGGACTACTTCTTTAAGATGCCGTTTGATTTTTGTGTTTCAGATAAACGAGCAAGGAGAAATCAATGTAACCGCGGAATCATGCGTGGCGTGTACGGCTGACTACATGATAGTGAAGTGGGGGGATTTTCCAATAAAATTATTCTAATAAAATTTGTATGTGAATTACAAAAGGTGTACTTTATTATGTAAAAAATCCAATTTTTATAATTTGTCTCTTAATTTAAAAAAAAATTCATGAATACTGCCTTTTTTTTAGGCTCCAAACGTATATGTCCCCTTAAAAAGCGTATCAAGTAAGGTATGTATAAGAGTATTTTATATTTTAAGACACAAACGTTATAGTGACATTTATTATGAAAAGTGGAACGATTACTATTTCCACATGACTAATGCTGTTAAGGGAGAAGGGTCATGTAGAATCGAATTTTTTGACACTTTTTTTTATTGCTTGTAAAATTCATTTAATATCTGAAAAATATATTGTTGATGTAAACCCAAATTGGAGCCCTAAAAGTTCCCATGGAGTCATCAAAGTAACGCACTCCGAATGGCACCGATCGCAGGTATACGAGCGGGAACGCTTTACCTTTCAGCCTCTTGATTAAGTTAGCTATTTACGGCTCAAATGGACGATTTCGCAGAACAGGAAAGCATATTATATGGCCCTGGCATTGCAGATTAAGCTTATATAGCGGTATACTTAATCATTACTTGAGTACTACTTTTTGCTATCGAAAACTTTAAACGCGTTTTTCTCCAGACACATTTTTTTGCGCGCGGTGCAACCTAGCTCAAAAATTAATTGATCGATCGACTTCAAATTTCACACAGATATTCTTTAACTTATTGACCATATGTTGAACCTAAAATACCATTAAAAAATCAATAATAAATTTTGATTATAACAAATTGTTTGTAAAAAAATTAATCGATTTTTTTTTAAAGTGTCCTGAATTTTTAATTTTCGATTTTTTTTTTAAATTTAGGTTCAAGATCTGCGCAAGATCATATTTTAACGAAAAAATTTTGGATTTTTTATTTCGGATAATTAGAACGACTTGTAGCCTGCACCGCGCAAAAAAAAGGAGTCAACTTCGAGCAGCTGTAGCGCCGCCATTTTTAATTTTTATGACAAAAAATTTTTTTCTTATAGCGTCTATTGTCAATATTATGATGTTCTTTACCAAAATTTAATAAACCTTTTCATTTTTTATAAATAAATTCGTAAAAAACGCCTGTTTACATGATCCTCCCCCCTTAAGGTGGTTGTATCGCATAGAAACGGCTTGTGGAGGAGGGGGGCAATCGCCCGAAACGCCAGCGCATGAGGGCACCGTTCGGTGGTGCAAAAAAATTATAACTGTTCAAAAATTGCTGCAGATCGCAATTTTTGAACAATAATTTTTATTTCCGTATAGCAATTTTTATTTCTCCACTGTGCGCCGGTATTTGAGAATGAGTTGATAAGCGAAGTGGATATTAATGAAGTAGTAAAGCAATTTTCTAAGATTTTATAATTAATATTTATTACTCCCCTTTTTTCGGTTTAGGAGATTCATATTATATCTGTCTTTTAGTTTTTAGTTATATAGTCCTTTAGTTTTTGAGCGAATTTCTAAATAACATTTTTGCGCTATAATTGAAAATGTACTGTTGCTTCTTGTCTGGCACATGTTAAAAGCAGAGATGTAATACCGAATTAATTCTCTTAGCAATTATATACCGGTATCAACCATATCCTTATTCAATAATAGCGGTATACGAAAAACCGAGACCGAATACCGGTATTGGACGTCAAATACTGGTATTCAATCGAAATTTTCGTAATACCGGTATACGCATAATTTTTCGGTAATACCGGTATTGCTATTATTGTATGCTACATTAAAGGTCTTCAAATCGAATTTCCACCTATTTTATTATTTAACGACCAAAAAATTCCCAAAATTATCTTATTTTTTCAGGCGTTCACTCAGATATAACCCCTTAAAGCTTATAATTTTGATAACGGAATAACGACACGTAGATGTTTAAAAGTTTTTTCTTTATTGAATAACGGTTGGAAGAATAATATTAACTGTTAAATAGGTTTATTACAAATATTTTCATATAAATGTTTTAGCTAATATTCGTTTGTTACTGTCAATTATTCGTATATTCTCCGTTATTTATTTATAGTTTTATTGTTTTTTCGCATTTGCTCGAATTAATAATATATCATTTATTATATTTTCATTTAAATCACTACGAAGAGGTGATAAAATATATTTTAATGATGAAAATAACCGTTCAACACTAACTTGTGTGGAAGGAACAGCTAATACAATACTAGCTAG